CTTCCAGCTGAGTCCCCAGCCAAAAACAAAAATGCCTCTTATCAGTTCAAGTTCATAGCCTTCTACTTGGCAGGATGTTGTTTCATTCCATTTCTATTACTCTAGTTCTTCCTGTGTAACTTCCTGATCCTTCTTCTGTATTCATAATGTCTCCCAAATTAGTGTTGTCTGTTTATGTCAAGATTCCTATTTCCCTTCCAGGAGAAAAACAACAACCATGGCCTCTGCACTGATCAACTCCAGCAGATACTTATTTACAACTTAGTATTTCTTTCTAGTACAAATAATTAGTAATAAAATTATATTTAATTTTATAAAATGTTTGTACTCAAATTCATTTTCCCACTTTAATTATTTCCTTTTTTGGTTTTGTATACATATTTTTATTAAAATCCAAACCTATTTGAACAAATTTGTTCTTTAAAAATAGGGTTATCTTAAATAATTAAACTAGCATATTATTACAGCAGAGCACCTGATGAACTAACCTGGGCACAGCATATCATTTGAGAACATAGAAATGCTGGACCACTCTAACAACCACCATGTCACACTATACAGAGAAGCCAATGAAATCCACAAGCACGTGGACTATTTCAACAGAAAGGAAGAAACATGAAAATGAACAAAATCTGGCTACCAGCATTAAAAATATCTAAAATCAGGACAGTAAATAAAAAACAACACTAAAAAAACAGGGGAATTTCAGACAGGAAATAACCAGGGCCTGATAACACCTCCCAACAAAGGATTCTTCCAGGCAACAACCAGCATGGACATTCAATGCTAATCAAGGTGGCCAATTGCAACATTCACACTGCAGACAAGAGTTCTTACTCCCACCTAGGACATTACACAGATGTATAAACCCCACTTGCCTAGTTTCCAACAGACTTCACAACCTCTGAGGATGCCTGTCATAGATGTGGGCAAAACGACATGAGAGAACGCTTCTGGAACATGGCGATACAGTTCGAAAAACTCACAGCAACCTAGCATATGATTACTTATTTTTCTACATAATATATACTTTTCCCCTTGAAATTGTAATTTAATATATAATTTAATGTATAAGGCAATGCAGTCAGGTATGCACTGATAAAAATTACTAGAAATAAAAATTGAAGCCAAAAACCCCCCAGGAACATCTGTATTTAGAGAAACATACATTTTAGATGTAGCATGATGTCCCTCAAAATACAGACCACTGAGTCTGGTGAAATCTGCAGGGTATTTACAAACTGTTTAGCCAGCCAAATTAGAACAATGCTTAAAATTTTGGGCTACAATGCAACATGGCATTACATTTTGAAGACTTCATTTCTTTGGTTTACTGAATAAATTTTCCAGTACAGACAAACTCTGTGCAAACTGTAATAACTGCTGTCCTAGAATGAAACACACTTATGGGAAATTTATTTTGTATAAAAGAGTTTGGTATTCACCTGACATTAGTTGATACTCTTTACACATGAGTAATCAAGGCTCATGTGTAATTTCTAAGTTTTTATTCCAGAATCAAAATAAATCGGGATCATTTAAAATCTAAAAGGTTAATTTGCTTATTAGAGGTGCCCCTTCATTCTGATTTTAAAATTATCTAGCAGTGTTTAATTTGTGAGAAACAGCATATTATTTGAGAACACAGAAGTGCTGGACCACTCTCACAACCACCATGTCAGACTACACAGAGAAGCCATTGAAATCCACAAGCATGTGGACAATTTCAACAGAAAGGAGGAAACCATGAAAATGAACAAAATCTGGCTACCAGTATTAAAAAACTCAAAAATTACAACAGCAAAACAACAGAGGGGAAACAAACAGGCACATAAAATCACTCTCAACAAGAGATTCCCCCCAGGCACTTCCAGGCCATTGAACGCAAATCAAGGTGATCAGCTGAAACATTACCCTGGTCATTCCACAGATATATAAACCCATTTTTTCTACTTCCAAAAGACCTCACTACCTCTGAGGATGCTTGCCATAGATGAAGCGAAACGTCAGGAGAAAGATTGCCTCCAGAACATGGCCATATAGCCCAGAAAAACCTACAACAACCCTTGTGAGAAACTGTTTTAAAAGAAAAGATACAAAGTCTCTCTATCTGTAAAATGGGAAACTGCTTATTTTAAAAGAGAGTTTTCTGTCATAATAGTACTGTCCCAGTATTCCTTACAGCCAAAGGTCATATTTCAAAAACTACCCATTCTGGTAGAGTAGTGAGGCAAGGATATATACTTGCTTCAATACTATTTTATCTCTTTCTGTCTGATTAGCTTACGTTTTTAATACAATTAACTCTCATTCTTTGAAAGTGGCTCAGAAGAAAATATCTGTCTTTCTTTCTGACAACAATATTTGCTATGATGTTTAACTAGGACTAGTCAGAAATGACTGCTGGCAGATTTTCCAAAAAATTATACATTGTAAATTTTAGTTAAGTCCAAGTTTTATTGTTTTCTATTGTTTTCAAGATGTTAACATAAAAGGAAGTTTCAATTAAAAACAACATTTTATGAATTTCCATGATTTAAAAAAATAACTAGGTCAAAGGCTGAAGAATTATGCCTAAACCTATTTGTTTTTTTCTCTTCCGGGGTGGTAAGTCTGGACCTGTGGTTACTAAGGACAAGTTAATGGATTACTGGCTTGTATCCTTCCTTAAGAAGATTACAAGCAATTTTTCTTAATCGAATTTTAGGCGTGTCACTGGGGAAATTAAAACCTAGGGTATTCTGCTTTCCTTTCAGATAAGAGAAATTTGGAAATAAATCAACTGTCTCATCAGTTATGAAATAAGCCTGTCATGTTTCTCTGAGATATTATCTTTGTATTGTTTTAAATTATTCAGACAATTCATATTCTTGTTTTACATAGATTTGTTTACTTTTTCTAACTAAGACCAATTCTTTAAGCTTTGTCAAGCATATGCAAAATATGCTTATGAAAAATGTGTTCTAAATATGCAAAATATTTAGAACACATGGAAAATAAAGTTTCAGAAACTTTCACTCATGCAAAGACTGGCTGTGTCAGATAGGTGGGACTGAATTCTGTGTTCATATGCTTCTTATTGCAATTTTTCTAAAATCAAGAATGAAGTTTTTCTTAATCAGAGCATTTCCTACCAATTGGATGAATGCGTAGTGTTTGTCCTGACTGTTTGTAATTACATTCGTACACATTGTATGAATGAAACCTTTTAAATATTTATTTATTTATGACATTTATATGCCGCCCTTCTCACCCCGAGGGGGACTCAGAGTGGCTTACAAGATATATATACATACAATATACTATATTATTAGCATAATACAATAATACTTGGCAACTGGTAATGACTTAAGATTTTTTAAAATTAAGAATCTGTTTGGACATTGGATAGCTTGCATTGTTTCCAGTCTACTTATTTTAATGGAAATAGCTGCAGACCTAGAGACACTATTTGTGCCTCAAATGACCTCCCTGAAAAGAAAGTTTGGATACAGATTTGAAACTATCAAGAGCCAAAATATGATTAGTTTTCAGGGTAAGATTCTAATTAGTTAAGCAAGTCCATAATATTATGTTAAAAATGCATAAACTAAGGACTACAGGGACCTGACCTTTGTTACAACTGTGACTGACATGTATTTAATGAGAAGGGTGTGTTTGAATGAGAGATTATTGCCTCTCCATTACTTCTGTAAAAGGTTTTCCCAGTAACATGTACACAGCTTATACCGAGTTTGTATTACTGCTGCATGATTCATTTGTTTATAAAGGTAAAAGGTAAAGTCCATCTTTCTAGACACAGACAGGGAAGCATTGAAAAGTTACTTATTTAGACTAACTTTTCAAAGTGCTGATAGATTATGATGACCTTTTAAGTCTTCCAAGACTTTTCTACTTCCCAAAGCTCAAATGCTTCAGGGACTCCCAGAAAAAGAATTCTGCCTTGAGGCATGTATTAAAAGAAATATAGTGAACAATGTTGATATCCTTATATAATCTGAGCAAGAATATGGTCCTTTTAAGGTTTTGTGATAGATTAATTTACCACACATCACTGTACTTTAAGCTCAAAGCAAAGAAGATCAGAATTGAGTTATACATTCATATGGAGGAATTTGTGCAAGGGTGTACTGTGCACCTTACGGACACAGAATATGAATCTGTGATAAAACTGCAAATTTCATTCATCTGTCAACGCCATAAATAAATAGCATCTAAACTTCTCATCACAAATATCAAGGAGACTGGGCCTTCTTCTGGTTGCTCAAACACCAGAAGTGCCACATAAGAGTGCATGTGGAAAAAAGATATTTCAATGCATTATTTATATGTACCATGAATTTATGTGTGTGCATATGTGTGCATGTGTCTATGCTTCATTCTCACATTCATGTAAAGAAAGAAACTCAGCAATTCCCTCATGAGAAAACATGGATTACAGAATCTAATACTGACATTCTGTATTTATTTATTTATTTATTTAGAGTACTTCTACCCTGCCCTTCTCAACCCCCGGAGGGGGACTCAGAGCGGCTTACAAAAGGCACAGTTCGATGCCTACACAATAATACAAATAACATTTAAAACAGCAATTAAAACAGTTATAACAGTTAAATAATCGATATATAACATAATCACAAACTAATCGCATGCTCAGCGTTCTCAGAGTCCATAACTCAGCGTTCTCAGAGTCCAAAACTTCATTCCACTTTGCCCTTTCTTATCAATCATCATAGTCCTTTATTTATCTGCCTGATTGTCCAAACGCCTGGTCCCAAATCCATGTCTTTAATTTCCTCCTAAAGGAAAGGAGGGATGTCGCTGATCTAATTTCCCCTTCAAATCCCACATCCATACCAAATTCATATCTCAAAACAAAATGAACCACACATTAGCCCTCAAGAAGTTTTAATGAATTCAACCAAAAGTGTTTTCAGCATTTTGAGTACTGGTCATTTCCTCCAAAGTAATTAATGTGATAGGAAATCTACATCACTTACTGGAAAGCCTTCTGCAGGCACTTCAATTTCATCATGTAATGATGGACAACCTGTAGAAGAGGACAAACACAAAATCTTAGATTTCTTCAGTTTATGCCTGGCTAAAGTCATGCATCAGGGCTCCCTATGTCATCTTGATTTTCACAAGCACAATATTTATAGTGCTGTGTGCAATAAAATCATCTAAAAAGTACCAATTTTAAAAGGAGCATTCTCCATCTTGCATACCACTTCCTTTCACTGAAAACAAATATGGGAGTTGCATAAAAGGAATAGAGGAAATTGCCTTATATCACGTAAAAATTATTTACTTGCCTAATCTATTGATTCTGATGGTTGACAGAGAAAGGCATTTCACATTGTCTTCTGCATCCTGTTTTTTTTTTTAAACTGGGCATTGAAACTTGGGAGTTCTTGCATGTAAATCATGTGTTTTACTGTTGAGCTATGGTACTTCTCTACACTAAGTTAAAACATAGCATTATGTCACACCTACACATAACCAAAATGGTATGGTAGTGTGAACCACAGATATTTCGGTACTTTTGGGCAAATTGTGTCTGTAATGCCCTGACCCTTAAAAGCAGGAGTGGAATCAGATCGGGTCTCAATTATGCTCAATATTTATTATGTAACAAACTAGCAAACATACACTTCTGAACAACCTAGCTAAATCAAATCCTGCTCTATGCTTTCATCATTATAAACTATGTATCTTTGTAGGTAGATATGTGCATGCTCCTTCCAATTTCCTGTTGACTTACATTAATCCTATCAATTTCATAGGGTTTTCTTAGGCAAAGAATACTCAAGAGGAAGTGTCCTCACACCCAGTAATCTTGCTTTGTGTTTGTGTATGTGCCTCCAAGTAACCTGTTGACTTATTGCAACTCCATGAATTTCATAACTTTTTAAAGCAAGGAATATTCAGAAGTGATTTGTCAGTCCCTTCCTCTAAATTATAGCCTATATCACCTGGTATTTGTTTGGGATCTCCCATCCAAGCACTAAACAGAGTGGCTTAGCTAACCTGCTTAGCTTCCGAGATCAGATGGAATCTGAAGGCATGAGAATATTTAGAGAAGTAAACAATATCCTGAAAATCATTCCACCTTATAGTTTATGGAAAACACTTATAGAAACTGATATACTGCCAAGAGATTATACAAGAGAAACACAGAAAAATAGGTAAGTGGTCAAAAAGAAGAAAGTTCTTTCAGTGAAGGAATCTGGATGCACTTTCGTAGCAATGTATACTATCTTCTGTTTATGGTATAACCATTGCTCACTAGGTCAATGTTACCTGCATCAGTTACACTGGCAGCCAATGTGTAATATTTTTACTTAAAAATAAATAAATAAGAAACAATTGAGATTTGTACCTTGAGAGATATCTTCAACTGCCCTGCGAATGCCTCTGTCAAATGCTCTTGCATCAGCAGGACTCTGAAATGTGAGGCCAAATTTTTTGTCATCAATCTTCCAGTGGTGAAAAGTTGGTGTAACCTTATTGTAAATAAGGTCCTTCTTTAACGTACACTCCAAAACCACCTGAAAAGAAGTAGAGTCAAAAGAGAAGCTTCACATAAGGTACTTATATATACACAACTAGATCTAAAAATTAAATTCTACTCACCCAACTTTTTTTTCAATTTAGGAGATTGCTTTTAAACCACACTTTTCAGTACTAAAAATGTTTTTTAAAGCTATTCACAATTATGTATATCAAACAATACAGTATCAGATTACTAAGAAAGAATATGCTATTTAATATCATTCCTAAAAAGAGGAAAGGTAGAAAACAACATAAAATGTACCACAACATTTGTCTAATAACTGATCAAAAATATTTCAAAAGTAAACAAAAACACTCAAACAAATCAAAAACAGATGGAAGCAAAGAGGGCCCTCCTTAGAGACAATTAGGAGGGCATCTTAGAGATACAGATACAGTGTTCCTGCAACCACAATTTTGGTTGGCCATCACTTTGATGGGTAGGTGTGAGAGTTTGTTCGTGTTGTTTAGAACCACTACAAAACTGAATACTTATGTAGCCTTTTGAAAAAAAATCTACTTTTTTATGAGGGTACAATGGGTTTTGGAAGAATTAGTGGTGATCCCGAGGGTCACAATGCGGCTCCCAATGATCCAAATGCAGCTTTTAGGCTGCACAATTCCTACTCTTAATATGATTTACCCCGTTTTTAAAAAGCCATGCATAAAAGAAACATCTCATAGTATCAACCACCAAATTCATCTGCCACATAGAATTGGAGTGATCTTTACCTGTGCCTCCCAATCCTACACCAGCTACTCAAAACAAAAGAAGACCCATAGCTGAGCGTATTCCAAGTATGTTCACTGCTGGACTTCTCCCTACAGACATCTGGTTGGAGTAGCAATTGTCCTCTAGAGCCCTGCACAGGACTCTCTTTAGCATTTATATGGAGACTTTTATGGGATTTTCTGCTCAAAACCATTACCCCCAAATTGAGGGGGGAAATGGGATGTGATCTGTGGTTAGTAACTAGGATACACAGTATGTAATACTGAACCCAATGAAGTCGCCCATTTCTGGGATCTGTCTTTATTCTGATATAAATTTTCTTTTGTTCTTAGTACTACTGCTCCACAAAGCAAGTTCATAAAAATCAGTATTTGCATTTTAACTACTTATAAGAAATTTGGTTTTTGTCTTACCTAAAATTCACTGAATATAGGCTTGAGTATAGCAAGATTTTTGCAGTTATATTGCTCATAAAATTAAAACATACCAAGTGATAATCACAAATTTATTAATATATGAATATTGAAAGCACTACAGGGTCAGGTTTACAATACAGCAAATGTGTACATTTAGCTATAAAATTCCTTTACAATTCCTTCTGCCATGTACATACCTCTAATTTGTGCTATGACAAACTAGATGTTTAGGACAGCTGACAAATGGCAAATTATAGAGTAGGAAGAGACCACAAGGGCCATCTATCTAGTCCAACCTCCTGACATGCAAGAAAATACAATCAAAGCATTCCCAACTGATGGCCACCCAGCCTTTTCTTAAAAACCTCCAGAGATGGAGGCTCCACCACACTCTGATGAGGTGGCATACTCCACAGCTGAATACCTTTTGCCATCAGGAAATTCCTCCTAATATTTAAGCAGAATCTTTTTTCTGCAATTTGAAACTTAAAGCTCATAACTCTCAATCCCTCATGATAAAGAGGTGGTGTGGAAACTATTCCTATTTCACAGTATCTTAGATCAGCAACTAAAGAAGAAATGGCCTTTGAATGGACGATGCCCCAATCAGCTTCATTCATTCATATTTTCTTTTCTTGCAAGGATTTCAAGGCAGTGTACATGGATCTTCTCCATTCTATCATCTCAACAATCTCATACACTGGATTATGTATGGTCCGTTCAGCAAATCTTATAGCTGAGTGGGGAACTGAACTTGCACTACCCTTGTCCTAAACCTGATATGTTTAACCACTACACCACAATGGTGTAGCTCAATTTCTATTCTTTTCTCTTCTCTCTGCCACTCGCAATTTCATATTCCTTGTAAACATGTGCTTTTTAAGGAAAAGAAATGCAAAAAATATGGCGCACTCAATTTCTTTCAGTGTTTTCATTTTAAAAGATCTGAGAAGTTCAAGTTATCATGCCTTCTGTGTGACTTCATTTTTCCTGCAAGATAAGCAAGCACACTCCACAATTAGATGTGCTATCTTCAATAGTGTAAGTGTTGTGTTATTAAACCAGAAAGCAAAATAAGTATCTCTTAAGTCTACAGCATATGAAAAACTAAAATACTGAGGTTTGTGTGTGTGTGTGTAATCGTGTACATAAAAGGAACTCTCCATCTATGTTTACACAGCTTAAAACAGCTGCAGACCTGTCCAGGTTAGAGTGGAAGGTAATTGTTCCAACTAGACTGGCTGGAGCCAGATCTCGGAAGGGAAGTATAATAAAGGAGGAAGTGTGCAATTATGTCAAGGGTGCTTTGTGAAGAGAAAAAAGAAAGAAAGAAACCCTTTAGATTCCAACAGATATCTAAACAATCTGGGTAAACAAGTTCGGAAATAGTCTCTGTCATTACAAAGTGAAATCGATATCCTGGGTGCTATCACTTTTCAAGTTACCTGACAGGTTTTTTTGTCAATAATATGTCAAAAAAGAATTCTCATTCATGAACCTGTACCTAATTCTTTTGCTACAAGTATCTCCAACTAAAATGAACTGATTAAAGGATTTTACTGTATACCATAAGATGACATTTCTTCCAGGCAAGGCAAGCTAACCTTATGCCTGAATTCCAATTTGTTTCTTTTCTAATGCAAAAGCCTTCTTACAAATCTACAAAATGCTTCAACTTAATTCTTGAAAATATCATTTTGAGTTTTTCTTTTAACAAAAATACTTTGCGCTAAATATAACAAAAATATTTTGAACCAAAATATTTTGACAAAGAAGTGTTTGGCCATGTAATCCCAACAAGTTTGAAAGGCATGGAGAAGCAAGAGAAGGAAAACTACCGTATATTCCGGCATATAAGACGACTGGGCGTATAAGACGACCCCCAACTTTTCCAGTTAAAATATAGAGTTAAGATGACTCCCATGCATAAGACTACACCCACGTATAAGACGACCCCTGACTTTTGAGAAGATTTTCTTGGGTTAAAAAGTAGTCTTATACGCCAGAATATACTGTACTAATTTTATCATTAGAAAGCACCAGCTCAGGATTTTGGAAATATTAGATAATTCTGCAAGGACTGAGAATTTACAATGCTTTCTGAAAATAAAGCGCCACGGAATAACATAGGATACATCATGGCGGAAAACGTATTTCCAGAAGCAGAAGTCTAGCAATAACAACAACTGATACTTTAAAATCAAACAATAATTCTAAAATATTTGTGCAATGGTGAATTCAACAAAAGGTGGGGTTTTTGTATATGACACAATAATATAGGAAAGCCCATTTTTAGATTGTGCCCAGTGGTACAGTGGGTTAAACCACTGAGCTGCTAAACTTGTTGACCGAAAGATCACATGTTCGAATCCTGGGAGTGGCGTGAGCTTCCGCTGTCAGCCCCAGCTTTTGCGAACCTAGCAGTTCGAAAACATGCAAATGTGAGTAGATCAATAGGTATCGCTCCAGCGGGAAGGTAACAGCACTACATGCAGTAATGCTGGCCACATGACCTTGGAGGTGTCTACGAAAAATGCCAGCTCTTCAGCTGGCAATGTCAGCTCTTTGTCCCGCCCGCATCGCAAGTGCGACTTGTGGGGACAAGGGAGAGGGCCTTCTCTGTAGTGGCCCCCTGGCTCTGGAACACACTCCCCAGAGAGATTAGACAAGCCCCCTCGCTGGCAATCTTCAGGAGGAAGCTGAAAACCTGGTTATTCCAATGTGCCTTCAATGACTGAATGTAAGACACTCCCTGTCCAAAATGACCTCAGAAGCACTTTAATTTATGGTTCGTGCAATTAAATCCTTCCTCACCCTGGTTCCCCATCATGACATTACTACATTGCCTATCTCCCAGTGTTTTTAAAATTTTAAATTTTTATTCTGAAGTGGCCCTGCCCTGTGGAATTTCTTGTGTTTGATGTTTAATTTTATATTGCTGTTTGTTTATTATATTGGTTTTGCATTTTATGTTTTGTGTATACTGTGTCTATTGTGTTGATGTGCGTGACCTCATGTAAGCCACCCCGAGTCCCCTTGGGGGAGATGTAGCGGGGTATAAATAATGTTTTATTATTATTATCATTAGAAATGGGGATGAGCACCAACCCCCAGAGTCGGACACGACTGGACTTAATGTCAGGCTCTCTTAACTTCCCAACACTGCAATTCCTTCATCCCTTATCATCACATTTTATAGGGCATTAAACAAAAATAAAAATTTGAGGAATTTCAAGTGACAACTTTCTGGCTGAAATGTAGCCCTTCACTTTTACCTAAACATGGGCTAAAATTCTCATTACTAGAAATCACCAGGCTGGTCATCATTCTATAACAAAAATATTAAATTCAAGATACACCTTCTAAAAACAATTCAAGCCACAATAAAAATAAACATTAAAATTAAAACATATAAACATTTAAAACATTACATTCAATATTAAAACCATGCCATCCATAATCATAGGCCAAGGCCGTTCCATAGTCCATAGTCAAAAATGCATTTAGTAGAATTGTCAAAATGCATTTAGTAGAACTGGCCCACTAATTGACATACTGATGTAGTTAGTCTTTTCCTTGATGAAGTAATTTATCTTTGATGGTGCCACTTCCCCCAACAGTTCTCCAGTTAATTTTCTTTTGTAGTTAATACTGCCTGTTTGGGTATTGGACCTAAGGACACTACTAAAGGAAAATTATCATTTTCTGTGCATTCCAGCATTTCAGAGAAAGGCAATGGCAAACCACATCTAAATATTTTTGAATAAGAAATCCCTAGGGAATTCATGATATGCCAACCTCCTCTTCCTCCTCATCATCATCTTCATCCTTCCTAGCAGAGATTATGGCCTCTCTAAACAGAAGAATGGCCCTATGGATTTTTATCAATGCCACAAGAAGACAACATAATTGCTTTTACCGTTTTATCCCTGAGACGCTCCCCATGTACAAGAAAATCAGCACAGCCATTTTCTTCCTGGTGAATGACTTTGTAAACAGTGACACAGCTTAGTCCACCTCCTCCAAGTGGTAACCATCCACCACTTGAGTCATCACGGGTCATCACCACAGCTCGCACACGGGCATAACTATTACTGAAATAGATAAGGGGAAAGAAATAATTAACTTCTCCATTTATATAATAAACATGATGAAGCTAACTCAGGTCACAGTGCAGACATTTCCATTATCCAAAACATTCACATCTTTGACAAAGCTAGTTAGTTTCCAACAATAATTCATTTGCATTCTGCAAATTCTGTCTGTAAATGCGGTAAAAAGTCTATTTGGTACTTTCAACTGATCTGACTATAAAACATTCCTAGCTTGTCCAAGAACATTTAGGAAAGTTCCAGAGCATGATGATAGGCTAAACTTAGTGGCCAAGTTCTCAAGAAGAGAGTAAATGTTTAGGGCTTAGGGCTAGGAAATCTTGATGGATGATAAGATAATTAAATAAAAGAATTAGAATGTATACCGAGTTAAAGTTGAATGCTGTGATAAATTTTGCAATCCCAAATTTAATATTCTAAGTTGGCTGCAACAACCTTGCATCAGAATGTGTGGCAAGGCAGCATTGCTCAGTTCTGGTAACTATGGCAACAGTTATTGGCTGAAACAGTCCTGCTTGCATTTAACTGCACAGTACACTCTCTAATTTGGTGAAAAAGGAATGGGCACAGATTGCATCATAATATCTCACCATAGAAAAGCACTGCTTGTTTGCTTCCTAGGAGGAGCCACTTAATTGCACAGTCAATGCATGCTTCTTCTTACAATTCTTATGTTTTTAGGAAGTTATTTTGGAAGGTCCATGATCGGTAAAAATGAAACAGTATGTTCATTGACATCTTTTCCCCTCTTTTCCCCTTTTATATTGTATTTAAGTTACTGGCACATGGGAAGGAATTAATGACTGAGAAAATTCCAACCCCTAAAAGGATGCTTTAAAGCACGTGTCAAACGCAAGGCCCGCTAGCCAAATCTGGCCCATCACGTCATTTTATATGGCCTGAAAGGCTTTCAATGCCAGGCCAACATAGTTACATTTATACAGTCTAACAACTACAAACGGCCTTTTGAAGGCAACCATAAGTCTGATGTGGACTTTGGTGAAAATTGTTTGTCAGCTCTGATTTAGAGCTACATGGTCTGTATTTCAAAACCCCTTCTGCTCTATACAGGATGGTGATGGAAAGGGATAAGACAGAGACCCAAAGAAGTATAGTTACCAAGTTCCTTTAACATTTGTTTCTTTTAATACACTTTTAACTACATGATAGAATTCAAAATTGTAAAATGATGGTTAAAAAGAGCGATTTTAAAGGATTTCAAAAGTGATAGCAAACACATTTATAGACCTACCACTGGTCAAAACTACAACAGCAAGATTCTCTCACTGCTCTTTTATCCAGAAACCACCATCCAACCAGTGTAAAACCAACTCATTTCTTATAAATTCAACCAAAATCTGTTGTATGAAGATTAGGCCACAGCTCCCACCCAGCTTCCTGTTACCCAAACCACAGTGTATGATCCTTGCATATGTGATTTGTGACATTATTTTACTTGTATTTGACAAAAAAACCCCAAACAACCCCAAAACAGTTTTGGAACAAGTGGGAGGAGTGATTCCAGCAGTGGATGAGCACAGTTGGAAATGTCAGTACTGTTCCATTATCTGGGCGGAGACCATAACAGGGGAGGGGGAGAGCTAGACTGAGAAGGATAATCCATTTTATGGGGGAAAGAGGTTGAAAGAGTTAAACCAATTCTCCTTGTTTCCTGTTATTCCGCCCATCCATGTCGCTGTTGTCGGAACAACCATAATTTTTGATATGGGATGGGGAGGGAATAACTAGCAAAAATGAGGAAAATGGTTTTCCTCCTTCAACTCTCTCTCACCCCCCCCCCAATAAAATGGACTATCCTTCTCTATTTAGGCCCCCTTCTGGAGTCCCCTTTGATAATGGAACAGTACCAAAATGCCTTAGCAATTTTGTAGAAGACAAAAAACTGGAGAGGATTCACCTACTCTTAGGAAGAAAAATAGAGAGACGGGAATAGTGGTGAACTAACAGTATTGGTGCAATTTAACATTGCTGGTTACAGCATGAGGAAGTAACATCAATGGCATTGTATTTTGGAAAGAGACCAAAAGGACTGAAGAAAAGGCTGTGCAAGCTAACTGTGGCCCACCGCTTGCAGGTACCTCATCTGACACAATCTGTCAAATTAATGTATTTGAGAAGTAAAGGTCTGTGATAGTCATGTTAATTTAGTCCACACAGAATAAATTGGTAAAAGCAAATCCAAATACCACACACTGCTCTTCCTTTAGGAAATAAACACGATTTCTTCTCAACTTTAGAGAGTTCAGTTAAATTCCAATATAGAATTTTTAAAAAAATATTTCACATCTATACAAAATACTGTACATGCCTCAGTCACTGCTACCTAAGAGGAATACTTAATAATCTAGGAGAGAGGGAAAGCAAGAGGGAGAAAAGAATCACTGGGCAAAGCAAACATTAAAGACTTTCTCACTATTTAAATCCTACTAATTAGATTCATTATTATGTAGCATTAGCTGACTTCAAGGAGTTGCTTCCATTATTTTATATCTATCCATCTACAAAGCAACAAAATAAAACAAACAAAGAAGACCAAGATCACACAAATAAACTGTAGTCAGTTCCTTAAAATATCTGTGCTTGGCAAGAGCTTGAAGAAGAAGACAAAAGGAACGACAAACCAATTCAACTGCTTGGTTGAACTCTAAAGAAAATTCAAATTTGTACCAAGAGACTTTGAATGCAATGTAGTCCTGGCAAGTTTCCTTTCCCTTACTTGTCAATGAAGAGAGCATTTTCTCTTCATCTAGGTATACTACTGTATGAACCATTCAAAACTGTGAAACAAATAGAAATGCTGTATCATCTGGGACTCTGATGTGCGGAAACCTCTTCTGCATAATGACTCTAACTGAGACTGTCATTATCATAATCAACCTGTTTCAGCTACATTTTCAAAGATGTACCTCCTCACTATTTTTTAAATGAATCTATCAAGTACTGTAGAAATTATGAATTTAAAACTGAGAACAGGGGCCTGCTAGGACAATATTTAATTAATAGTTTAGGGAAGACAGAGAACAGGTCTTTCTGTTCCCTACCGAAACCCGTGAGTTTTCATTTATTTGAAAGCATTCCTCTCTTGTAATATACAAATTTAGAGTGATGCCATATTTAATTAAATGCAAGTTCAAATATTTTGCAACAAGAACAACGGTTTGGAAGAGGTACTGGAAATCTGTCATGCCATTGCTGTTTCTGATTTTGTTACTATCTTTAATTCATGCATGACAATAGCTCTTGATATGCTTGCCCTCGTCCCCAGATGGACTGTAAGCCCATGTCACCACAAATCTGGGCCACACATTTTATTTAGTAACTTTACACTCCAGGACTGCTGAATGCCCCTGGCAGCAAAAAAATGGCTGATTTTGTCCATTATTTAATTGTATTTTATTTTTCATTGGACCCAGTGTGGCTAAATCCATGCTCGTTTTCTTCTTGACTGGCATCTATTCACACAAACCCTAGTAATATTATCACTTAACCAGGCAAACTTTAGTAACCATCAGCACCACTTCTGACTGATGCCCTGTTAAAGGCCTGTCTACTACTCCCTCCTTATCATCTGTTTATTTCCCCCTTCAGTGTTGAAACCATACATGCTTATCTCCCACATTTCCCACCCTCTCCATCATCTCATTATCCTGTTGCTCTTGTCTCTCTCTGCCCGGATGTGTCCTCTGTATCTCCCAACCACTGACTGCCATCCTACCTGCCATTCTGTCTCCTCTGTGAAGTAGCAAGCTTCACAAACATGCCATAGCCTGTTCTATTCTCAGAAAAACATCATTTTCATGATTCTTTCTCAAGTTATCACTTAAAATCCTTTCTACCCTTTCAGCTTTGCTCTACTCTAACAATTGTGAGCCCTAAGAAGTGTTGTTTTCACTGAAAAAATATCAAAAAACAGCTCACTGCTATATCATTTTTCTGGCCTGCTACACTGCCTTCAAGAGTAGATCAGTCACTTCCATTTTATTGTTTCTCCCTTGTTGCCATATATTAGATAGTTATTTTCCTATTTCTCTAATGCATTTTACAATAATTCCTTGGAGGAAGCCCTCTTTTTGTTTCTGTTAAAGCAGAATGAAATACAAGAGAACTCAAAGACACAACAGCATTAAATACATGCTTTCAATTAAAAGAAAAAAAACAGGTGTGTTTCAAAAGTCGTTTTAAAAGCAGTCTAGGAAAGAAGCAGACCACAGATATCCTGGGTTAGACTTCTAGGGTGGACATAGAGCCATCATTAAAATAATCCTCTCTAGTCCAGTGGTTCCCAACCTTATTTTGATCAGGGACCACTTGACCAGGGACCACTTTGACCAGGGATCATTCTCAACATTAGTACCAAAAGGATTACAAATCAGATTTTGGACAACTTTGGTTTGCTTATGTGGGGTGCTGATTCAGAAAATTGTATTGGATAGACCACATCAGCTCTAGTTTTTGATACAAAACATATGCCAAGCAGGAGTTACCATCTGCTCGCCTACAGAAAACCATATTTAATAATCTAGATTCGCGGACCTTTTCTTAGGCCTCATAGCCCACCAGTGGGCCGCAGCCCAAGGGTTGGGAACCACTGCTCTAGTGATTGCTAACCTTTCTGTTTTCATGCAAAAGATGGCAAACAGACACTTCAAAGAATAGGTTTGTACAGTTGCAGGCTAATATGGATGGACTTAGATTGTGAGTCTTCTGTGGGCAGAACATATCATATGTAACAGGGATTTTCTGCTTCCCACTTTCCTTTCGAGTTCTCTGAAAAAATGCTTTTGAGAGAACTCTTAGTAATAGAGTGAAATTGACATAAATCACTCCTTCCCTTATATGCATTGAAAAGGAACTTCATATGAAAGTAGAATAAACACACATACACACATTTCTTTGCTTTACCTGACTGGTTTTTATCAAGTTAAAAATTGGTTTTATTCTATTGGAGCAATATACAAACA